GCCAACGCAGCCGTGCAGGAGCAGGCATGCCGGGCGCTGCGCGACATCATGACCGGCAACGATGCGCGCATGCAGGCGGCAGCGGATGCGGGCGCGCTGCTCCTGATCGTTGCGGCGATGCGCGCGCACGTGGCCAACGCAACCGTACATCAGCAAGGCCGGTTCGCCCTTCAGCTGCTGCAGCTGCAGGCATGACGCAATGTTGTCGTCTCCACCAGCTCGACAGGCAGCAGGTGGCAAGTGTCCCCGCATGTTCTACCTGGCATTCGACATTGCCAGTTCCCAACCTGACCAGCGGCCTCGTCTCTACCATAACCTCTTCCCGCCAGTACGCTAGCCGGGCCGCATATATAAATAATATAAGTATATCTATCAAATATGCTTGAAGATTAGTCAACAAGGCCAGCCAGAACCCATTTTTATTAAAATATCACTTATAAGGATTCAAGTTGATCAATATATAAAATCAGACGCCAGCTTGAATCCCTATCTAGTCTTGGCTACGACTCCCGCCCAACGGCCTCTCTGTGTGTTGGCATGATGCTCTCAGACCCAGACCACTTGAAAACTGCTGAGCCGCTAATAATCAGTAATATAAAATCGCCCTTGCCCGGGCACACTACCGGAGATCCATCGGCACGCGCGGTGGCGCCCAAGCCAGTGCAGCCGACTAAGGCACGCAGCAGGCAATGGGCGACGCAGCGCTCAGACCAGCACAACTTTCAGAACCGTCAGACGCCAGCTTGAATCCTTATCAGTGGGCCGCACGCGGAGACGCCGCTCAAGGCTACCAAGGCTACGACGATGCTGCTTCCTGCGGGCGCCGCAGTGTGCGCGCTCGCAGCGTCGCGATGCTGTCCACTTGAGGTACTCGCTGGCACCTCTCGACCACCCGTATCGCTCGGGTCCTCAAGTGGATGTGCGTCGCGCCCTGCGGTGGGCGCTGCTGCGCGCGGCGGCGGGCCGCACACGGAGACGCCGCTCAAGGCTACCAAGGCTACAAAGACGATGCTGCTCCCTGTGGCCACCACAGTAGGGCTGCGGCGGCCGAGGCGCGGCCGAGGCGGGGTGTGAGGGCCGGAGCGCACACACTCACACCCTTTGGTGTGAGTGCTGGTTCATGAGGGTTTGGGTCGATCGCTCGACCTCAGCCTGACGTCGACCAAGCCAGTGACTGAACAACACCGGTTGAACCATGCTGAGCCGCTAATATATATATATCCTTATCAGTAATATAAAATAACATATGACGGTAGTAATTATGAATTGTTGGCTCTAGTGGGTGTATTCGAATTCCATCACGGGCTGATAGAATGGCTTCTGGCGCCCTGGAATGTCTCCTCGCCATTCCCCCGCGAGGCCGCTAGAGACGCGCCCGCGCCCGCCGGCGACGGCGGCCGGGGCTGTGGCGGCGGCATGTGGTGCTCCAGGTGTTGAGCTGCGTACAATGCGTAGTGGGCGTCGGCGTCGGCGTCTCGCAGGTTGGTCGGCGAGTGAGCCCTTAACGCGCCCCTCACCGAAGCACGCAGGGGCTCTTTCTCGTAGGCCGCGGACCTCGCCTCGCCGCCCGAGCTCTGCAGCCGCCGCTCCGCGCTCGCGCCTCGGACGTAGTTGGGGCGCATCTCGCGCGCGTTTGGCGGCGGCTCTGCTTCGCTCAGCGTCACCGCCCGAACTGCAGAGGCGCGGTGCTCAGCCGAGCGGGGCGAGCGGTTGCTGCATGCAACTGCTATTTATATTACTGGTAGGAATTTAAGCTGGCTTCCGCATATCATATTTATATATATACTGATAGGGATTCAAGCTGGCGTCTGACTGTTCTGAATGTTTTGCTGGTCTGAGCGCTGCGTCGCCCATTGCCTGCTGCGTGCCTTAGTCGGCTGCGCTGGCTTGGG